CTCTCTCTCTCCCTCTCCCTCCTCCTCCCCTCCGTACTGGTGACTGATACCCCTCAACGTGTAGTTGCTTGCCCTGCCCACGCGCTCGCAGTTCTCCGGACTGGACCTGGATAAGCACCGTGGGCTGTTGCCCCTGCCTGCGGATCTGCTGGATGACCAGCGCCAGGCCGGACGCGGCGGCACCGATCGCTTGGAGCCGGCGTGGCCGCTTGACCGCTCGGTCCGGGGCTTTCGTCTATTTGCCAGCCACCAAGACTCACGTACCGGGCGCCTGACGGCCCTCATTCGGCGCGACAGCAGCTCCATCGTTTGCGAGTACATGCTTGGGCCCAAGGGTGCGCTTGCACCATGTGCCGGGCTTGCCCTGCGAATCCTTTTTTTTTTTCGCCCCTCTCCTTTGTTCCCCTCCTTTCCGCCTTCCCTTTCGCTCCCCCCCTCCCTTCGATCTTCTTCCTCTCTCTCTACACGCTTCCATGCTTTGGCATCCCGAAGCTAACTCCCTCCCCCGGGGCACGGACTGGCCACCGGAACAGGACTTCGGTCTCTGTCTCGTGCGGTGTCCATCGGCCCGGAGCTCGGCAACATTGTCGCTGCCTGGGGCTACCGACTGAGTACATACCTCCTCCTCCCCCCCCCCCCACACACACACATATATATACGCCCGCGCTGCTTCGCCGCCTCTGTCCCCTGTCCGGCCCTCCTTCCTGACACCCGCACGCAACTGGCTGCCTGGCGACCACCGCCCCAAAGACACGCCCGGGTATCTGCTCCAAACGATCGAGCCCCCACGCCGGGGGCCGCTTTCGCCAGGCGGGCCGGCTGATGGGTTTCCCACCCCGACGCGCAGCCTGGCCTCCTCGGTGGCCGGCTCGCCGTCCCTACGAGCCTCCGGTGCCGGGGGCGGGCCCATGCTCATCTCGCGCGATGGGCGCTGCCTCGGGTCCTGCTGCTTTGGCCGCACCGTCGGCTCGGTGTACTTCGTGGACTCGGTATCGGTACGGCTCGCCACTTCTTTTTCCGCTGTCCTCGCCCGCCTCCTGCGCGCGCGCGCTTTTCACCCTTCTCCGTGTTTTTGCGCTTGTTCTTTCCTTTCCATTTCCCCGCCCCCATGCCCGTGGCCCGGGCTGCGTGCCCCTCCGCCCAGAGGTGCGGGCACTGCGCGGACGATATCCAGACACTAACCCGTGGGAGGGGACGCCCGGGCGCAACAGCCGCGTGCCCCAGTGCGCCTGCTTCCCTTCCTTCCGACACGCTTCGGTGTCGTGTCCGACTTCGGGCTGGTGCCCTCGGAGATGGCCGCCCCGCATTATCGGCCATCCACACTGAGCGGAGCTCTCTGGGCCGTGGATCCGTCGGAGCAGTGCTGGGTGCGTTCGGGGCAGGCTCAGCTTCTTGGCCTCCCTTGCATCGTGTCCGCGGCTGCTGCTGCTGTTGCTGCTGTTGCTGCTGTTGCTGCTGTTGCTGCTGCTGTTGCTGCTGTTGCTGCTGTTGCTGCTGCTGTTGCTGCTGCTGCTGTTGCTGTTGCTACTGCTGCTGTTGCTGCTGCTGCTGTTGCTGTTGCTACTGCTGCTGTTGCTGTTGCTACTGCTGCTGTTGCTGCTGCTGCTGCTGCTGCTGTTGCTGCTGCTGCTGCTGCTGCTGTTGCTGCTGCTGCTGCTGTTGCTGCTGTTGCTGCTGCTGCTGCTGCTGCCACCGCCGCCACCATCAACGCTTCCTGACAGTGTGAGCACGCGCTTTCCTCCTGCACACTCGCCCCCCTCCGGATCCTCCACGCGCAGCTTCTTCTCCACCCGCCGGAGGACGAAGACTGGCCCATGGCCTCGCCGACAGTCGGAGCGGGGGGCATTCAGCGCCATCAGTTTGGCGGCGGCCTGATTGGTGTTCCCATTCACCTTCCCCTGTTTAACCAGCCCGTTGGTGCGCGCCGGATCGGCTTTTTCTTTGTGCCCATCGAGCTTGCCACCCTTCCCACTCGCAGGCTGCCGGGCCCGTGGCTTGCAGCAGCTAACTCCCTCCTGGCGGCCCCACCAGTCGTGAGCACATGGCCGGTGCCCAGCATTGTCCTGGCCCAGCAGGGTGCCAGTCAGATGCTGCACCTTGTGCACGACTCGCGCATCGCCGCGCGGGTATCCTCGCTCCTCAGTCGGCTTGAGCTTTCAGTGCGCACCCAGCCTGTGGAGGCATTTGCGAGGCTGTCCTGCCCCTGCCCCGGGTCCCCACTCACCCTGCCCGGCCTGCTGCTGTCCGCTCCCCCCCCCCCCCCCCCCCCCCCCCCCAGACCCCGCCCCCCCCCCCCCCCCCCCCCCCCCCCCCCCCCCCGTCGGGCCAATCCCCGGGCGGCCATAGTCCTTCCCCATTCTCACGGACGTGGTGAAAACCCTGCTCTCGGATGGGTGCGCTGACTTCCTTCCCGCCAGCGCACGGTGCTCGCGTACATACACACGCATATGCGGGCACATGTGCGCATGTCCATTCGCCCGCGCTCGGACTCACCTCGGCCATGCACCCGGGCACCCCCCAGCTATCCGTCACAGGCGGCCCGCTTCCTGCAGGATTCGGTCGGCCGGGCCAGCCCTGGGCTGGTTTGTGGCCCCGGGCCCGGCTCGGCCACCCACCCGCTGGTGGCCAACACCATGCTCAATGCCGAGCTGGCTACCGAGCAAATCACCCGAACGCTGACGGACCTCCTGCGCGACGCACTGGAGGCGGCCTTCCGGGCCCGAAGCCGCGCCCTCGAACAGCCACATGATGCGGAGCTGCGGCGCGCGGCAGCCCAGCGTCTCCGCGGTCCAGGTGCGTCCGACCAAGTGCCCCGGGGGCCGGCCTGCGGCTGTGGTGTGCTGACGTGTGTGATGAATGTGCGCCCTCCGCCGCCGCCCGGCCACTCGGTGTGGCCCGCCCTGCCGTGCTCTGCCCTGCCGCCATGGCAGGATCTTTGAGTGATGTCCTGCAATTCCTCGCCCTCTTCCCGCAATCGCACTCGGCCCTGGCCCAGGCCACGCGCCTGTCCGAGCCGGACCGCTGGCCGCTGCTCTATGCGGTGGACACCGAGGCCACGGGGGTCGATTCGCTGCTGCTAGACCCGCAGGGAGGAGTGGCCAGCCTGGCCGGTGAGGGGGCCCCAGCTGGTGGGCCCTCCTCCCCGGCCCCGGCCCCGGCTCCGATCGAGTCGGACTTCGAGGCCCTGTCCCCGGGACCCGGCCGACCGGACGATCGGCCGGCCAGCGACGCATCTGCCGGCAACCCTGCCAGCAGGCCGCCCCCCGAAGTCGGCACCAGTGCCAGCAGCCTCTTCGACAGCCTGTCCGACGTGGATATGGCCGACGACTCGCTGACGGTCATCCTGCCGAACGGCTGCGACTGTTGGGATCGGCTGTGTCCCGGGGGGGAACTCTGCTTCGAGCACGACGCGCAAGATGCCTCGGAGGTCCTGCGCGCGGCGTTGGCCTCCGGGCGCGTGTCGGCCGCCGCCTCCCTGCTGCTGGTTGTTCGAGACACCTGCGGCTCGGGAGCCGCCATCAGCGTGCGTCCATGTGCGGGGTGGGGGGGGAGGGCGGGGGAGGGGCGGGGGGCAAGCGAAAGAAAAAAAAAAAGGCCAGGGGCGGGGGGGGGGGGGGGGGGGGGAACCCAAAACCCAGGACCACATATCCCGTCCAGCCTCGAGCGACTGACTCCCCGCCGGCATGCTCCCCAGGAGGCGTTCATTTTGCTGGATGCCAGTCTCGAGGTCGGGGACTTTGCCTGCGCCTCGCAGGTGGTCAAGTTCCTTCGGGACATGGCGAGTGCGTTGGCGGTGCCCACAAAAATAAGCGCCCCCTTTTATTTGGCCATCGCCCTGACACAAGCACCGACGCATACACCCCCTCTCGCGTATCTCCCCTCCCCCCTCGGGCCCCCGGGCCGGCGTCACGCCTGCGGCCTTCACAGAATCGGGCCTGTTTTACTTTGCCCATTCGATGAAGACCAGCAGCCTGTCCATGAGCGAAGCCGAAGTATGTTGCCCCCGGCACACTGTGCCATATTGTCCCTCCTCCTGTCCCTCCCCCCCCCCCCCCCTCGCACGCTCTAACCGCACAACCCTCGCCCCCCTGGCCGCCCGGGCCGACAGTTCTTCATCGGCCTGGCCCTGTCGCGCTTTGCTCGGCGCTGCATCAAGCGCGGCCACCTCGTTCGGCTGGCCTTCTTCTCCAAGGCCCTGCAATGGGACCTCAGCGCATGGCTGGCTCGATTCCGGTGCGAGCGGCACCCTCTCCCCCCGCCCCCGCACACACACACACACACACACGCGCGCGCCCTTCTCCTGGCAAAGGCCAAGCCGCCGCGTGGATTGCCCCGGGCTAACCCATCGCCCTCGCCCTCTCCCCGCCCGGCATCGCCCGCTACTGCCCGGCCCAATTAGCATGGAGCTTCCCCACTCGCCCTCTCGACGGACATTGCTGTCGGCCTTGCGCCGGACCCTCGGCCTGCCGAGTGTCCTGGACCAGACCCTCTGCCGGTGCGGCTTTGTTGTGGAGCTCCGTCGGCAGGACCCCCTCGGGGCGCCGCGCACCCTCCGGACTCTGGAGGAGGTGGGCACCGGGGTGCCGGAGGCGGCAACGCTCATCCGCGCCCTGGAGCTGGCCGCCGAAGGGAAGACCGCACAGGCAGCCGCATGGGCGGCACATGGCCCGGGGCTGGGGACGCCGGCTGGCACGAGCTCCGCCACCGGGGGCGGTGGACGCCGGGTACCACCGGCGGTGTTCCCCCCGCTGGGGGCCTGGCCGCGCCCGGCGACCTCGAGCCGTGCTGGCAGCGGGGCCCGACAGCCGTCCCCCTGGGCTCCGCGGGTGTCGGCCGCGGCGCTGGTGGACTCGCGCGTGGCCCGGCTTCGGCGCTGTGCGGAGTGTGGTCTGACCGCCGCGCCGGCGCCGCTGGCTCCGTTGGGCAGCTCGGCCGGGTCGGTCCTCGGCCGACTGCAGCAGGCCATCGGCGGGGCCGCCGGCGGGGCCCACGACCCGGCCATGGCCGATGACGATGCGTCGGTCGAGTACCTCCAGCTGGGGACCGACTCCCTGCCACTCCTGCAGCCGGCCGGCGAGCTGGTCCACTCGGTGGAAGAGCTGATCCGCCTGACGGTCGAGCCCTTGCGCACGGTTTTCCGCCGGGCCGACCCCCACACCGGCAAGCCGAGCCCCACCAACACCTATGTCGACCACTGTGTCCGGGCCTTCGGGGCACTTCTCCGGGCCGAGGACTTCCCCCAGGCCGAGCTGGCGGCCGCCGACGAGGAGATCGACGAGGATTACGCCCTGACCGACCAGCTCCCCAGCCCGGTGCGCCTGATGCGACACCTGCTTTGGAGCTGCCTGAGGGCGGTGGAGCTCGGCCGGCAGCAGGCCACCAGCGCGCCGCCGGGGTCGGGCCCGGCCCCAGGCCCCGCCGCAAATGCTGCGGCTGCCACCCCAAGCTCCGTGGCCGCCAGTGCGCCTGGCGTGGCTACGACAGCGCCGACGCCGACGCCGACGCCGACGACGGCCACCACCGCCACCGCCTCCGCCGGGGTCGCCGCGGGATCGCCCGCCGCCGGGGTGCTCGGCACCATGGGCAGCTTCCTCTCGGGGCTGGCTGGCTCCGGGCAGGCGACCCCCCGGCCGGCGGAGGATACCACACTCCTCGGGGGGTCGGGCAGTGGGCGCCTGGACGATGCCACCCTCCTGGCCATGGGGCAGATCCCGGCGGCTCGGGAGATTGGCCTCCTGGTGGCCACCCTCCTGGAGGATGTCCCGGCGGCGGTGCTCTTCCTGGAGGGCACGCCCGCGGCCCTGCACGAGCGGTACCAGCGCATGTGGGAGGAGCAGGGACACCATGTGTTCGCGCAGCAGGTGGCCGCTGGCCGGCCGGCTGCTGCGGTGCCCCTGTCCACCGCCGAGGCTCGGCGCCTGCTGGGCCCGGTGTTGGAGAATACCACGGCCAGCTCGCGATTGGTGGCCCGGCATTCGCTTCCCGGGACGCCGCAGGCCCCAGGCCCGGGGACTCCGGCCGTCATGGCCCCGAGCGGCTTCGGCATCGGGTCCTCTGATGGCATGAACCGCGCCATCGACCAGGCACTGGCCAATGACAAGCTTCGTCGCCACCGGCTCCGCCGGCAGATGAGCCTCGCGCCCGTGGACCCCGCCCTCGAGGGCGGGGCCACCGATGACGGGGTCGACCGGTCGCTGTCTTCCGGCTCCGGCGGCTGGTGGCTGTGGTGAGCCTGATAGGAGGTGGGACGCGTGCAGGTGGCGCACGAGAGAATGGGCTTCGCGCGTGAATGTACATTGACAAGATGTGCAGGGCCCTGTGTCCGGGCGTAAAAAAAGATGGAGATACAGGAGCGCGTAGGGGG